CCCCCCTGATGAAGTACCCCGGGTACTATACAAAAACAGTAAAATACCCGGGGTACTTTAGTCAAAGAAATACGGTATTTCGATAAAATTATGGCCGTGGAACATGTCGGATGTGTGTAACATGTCGGATAAATTCCTGGTCTAATACGTATGCACGTGACATATCAGGAGGGTGATAAACATTTTGTTTCCCCCTATCTTTAGGCCATAATAAAGGTTCAGACTTTATAGAGGGGTTTGATTTAGGAAATGATAGGACAGCAGTGTACTGTTTACCGTCGCCACACTATCATGTATTAAGCAGGCCCGACTTGTTGGTTAGAGCTTTTATCATATCAACAACTACCGACATCTTCAATAATCAGTTTTAAGACCGTACCGACCCTGCTTATGCAACTATATACAATTCATGGATTGGTGCTGATGACATTTTTCGAATAGTGCCTCTTGTATACTCATTAATGTCCCGCATGCGTGCTACAGGCAACTTTTTCAGAACCTAATCGACTATAGTGATGGAAATGGGATGCAACTCCAGCCACGGTTTATATTAACAAGCGGTGATCAATGCTGCATTTGACAATGTCGAAAACAAAGGTTGTCATTTTCATTTAGCCCAAACTGTCTAATGGAAAAGTGCAGGCTGCTGGTCTAAGCACGAGATACAATACTGATTCGACAAATTCCTGCGCTCGCTTGCATTCTTGTCCCCTGATACTATCCCAGCAGCATTCGACAAATTAAGAGGCAGGCCACAATATGCATTAAGAAATGGAAATATACTGCGATTTTCACTTTTATTTGTACCTGCATTTTTGGTCTGTTGCTGACAATATGGAGTATGCCTTCCCGAGAACGCAAATTCGGTAGAAGCCTGGCATCGAAGGTGGGATACCTTGGTAGGAAAAAACAACAAGTAATGTTAAATTATACAGTGACTCTATGAAAATGTGTTGTGAGTTTGTTATCGAGAAACAAGGTTTGAACGAATAACCATATTAACATAGATCTGGATCTTGACGTATCAAATGAGCTATTTACATTATTTTCATCCGCCATCAGATTTTATCTTTCCGCACATAATTCTGCATGTATTACATAGTCGAAAAATGCAATAGTATTATTGTTATGACTATAAACCTACCTGTTATAATTCATAATTAAAAAATTATTTATTTAGCGTTTACACCAGAAAGAATCAATCTAATAAATAAAAGAATAGACTGTATACCGATAATAATAAGCTTTACATTAATATTGTAAATTATTGCGTATGGCGTATTATTTTAAAAGGTAATTATTTACATTGATTATATATCGAGAGCCAATATACCAGGGTATACCGATCTTGACAATTTAACACTTTCAATGGGAATTTGGCCCGTTCCGCCTTCGAACTAAACTTTCGGATGACAGTTAGTGACGTTCGATGATCTGATATCGATTTTGTATTGTTTAATCTCTTTTGACAGGCTTAGTCCAAAAACTTATTGGTGGGGGAAATTCTATTGCAATGACGCAATTTTACACTTTCGCCAACAATGACGACACAAATCTTCAACAGGGGAATAAAAATAGCAATTTATATCTAAACGCGATTATAACAAACTATTCTAAATTGAAGAATTTATTAACGAAAGTCTCGTTCGTTATATAATTAGGATATAAATTCTAGAGGCTCGCCCTTCGTGTACTATAAATATGCAGAGTCTTGATATTTGAGTAGTACATAACTTGTACAAACAAAATATTCGATACAACCGCTTCATCAACACACGGATTCACAGAATTTAATCTATTCGTCCTTTTTCCTTGGACTTAAAAAGCCGAATTAATAATTTTATTTTTATTAGTAACAAGAAATGTTACAAAAAAAAGGTGTTGAGGGAGCGGGAAAAGGAAAAGAGAGTATTACGACTTTACAGATTAGACCTCCTAATGAGTGTTATTTTGACTCACTGTATGCATATCGCTCACGAGGGAAAAAGAAAGCGGGGGGAAGGAGAAAAGAAAGGGGCTTCGCACGAAATATATTTTGTATTGCATTACGGCATTTCTTGTACTACTGTGCAACATAAATATTAATTATCTCTTTGATTATAAAAACCGACCTTCCGTGCGTAACAAGAAAGAAAGAGTGTTTCATCGATTCTTCTCCCTCTCAACTCTGCTGTTCAATTGAAAACGAAAGAATTTCAACTCTTTAATAACGAGTGTAGTCATGTCTTACGAACCAAAAGAGTATCCGGTGCAACAGGCTGTCTATACACCACAACCCGGAATGAGCATACCTCAAGCCCAACCGCAAGCTGTCCCAAAAAGTCAAGGAGGTTGGAAAGCAAGTCTATTCGGTTGCTTCGCTGTTCCCGGACTCTGCCTCAAGACATTTTGTTGCCCTTGTATCACATTTGTAAGGCTAATGCGGCATGGAATTATTTTATTTCTTTTCCAGTCTCACCTCACTCTTCTAACATAAATTTATTGACAGGGCGAAACGAAAGCCAAAATGGGCTCGGGTTTTTGCTCAAGTTGTTGTTTCTTCGTTTGTTCAATGTGTATAGGCTATAATTGCTGTCTTCGTATTATGACGCGCGGTGATATTCGTGCCAGAAAAGGAATCAACGTATGACTGCTTTCTACTTTTTTTGTGTATGTCTTCCTTAAACTTATATACAATCTGTTAATTAATCTTTCTTTTGTTCGTTTTTCTTAGGGTAGCTGTATGGGAGACTGTTGCACTCATTTTTGTTGCGGATGCTGTGCTTTGATACAGGAACGCCGTGAATTTGATGATTGATAGCATATTTACTTATTATACGTAATTTCTAAGCGTCGATTAAATAATACTGATAGTTAAATATTACTATGTTCATTGGGCCGTACATTGGTCATGTGCTGGTTTTGATACACACATAATAAATATATACATATAGCGAAAGTACATTGCTTGCCATTTCGACATACAGTGTATATTGCTTTTTGAGTATAAATGTTGTAAATGAGAGTTATCTGAACTTTATAACTTTAACATGTTACAACGCCTCGTTAATTTGGATAATTTGTTGATCAATTGAAGAGTGCCAATATTCTTTTCGATGAAAAAACAAAACTCAATTGTGAATATATCCGATTTATTCCACCGATTGAATAGTTGTCGGTGAAATGATTGTCTCCCGACAAAAGTGCCAACTAATCGGAAAAAATTTGCTAACAGCATGTCGCTCTTTTATGCAACAAGGATGGTAATGAGTGGCATGCTTCATACAATAAATGGTTTACTTGTAAAAGTATTGTTTATATTCGTTGCATACGTATTTGTTTCTGGCGCTGAAGACAAAGTGCCAGTCTGCAAAAAATTATCGAATGGTAAAAACGTAGGAGGAAACTTGCATAAAAACCCATAACAAATTCGTTTGGATCAAGTGAATCAATAGTAAATATATTAAATAGCAAAAAGGCCATATATATAGCGAAACGTTAGTAGTAAAAAGTAACTTGCTTTATATCGGAAAAATTATAGCAGGAAAGGAAGCAGTGTGCATCAAGAAACGTGTTCTTTGTACCTAAACAATATTAAATTGAAATCCGTTCCTGTAAATTATTTCATTTGAGTCTGTGTCCTATTTCGACGCGAAATTATAATGTTTAGCTGCGGGTCGCTTCATACTCACTTCGTCACAAAATAGCGATTATTTCGCCACGACACTTCAAATAGCCAACATGTAATACGTACGCCTCGCACTGTTGTACATCTACGAATTCAGTCCACTATCGATGATAATTGATCCAGTATCATATTACTGTTCATCAGCTTCGGCATGAAAGCTTGTTTGATTAAGAATAAGGCCAAAAAGGTCTTCCACTTGAATATCATCGCTCGAATTGAAAAGAGAATGTCCAATGATATAACGTTTGCCGATAGCCGAAATGTTATCGGTCACTAGGAAAATGCATCAACAATGAGTCGGCAAAACAATAGCGAATGGATCCAAACACTCTTAATGCTCGCTGTTTTCGCCAGAACTTCTAACAACACGATTTAATTCCCCTGTTCTTATTCTTTCAAAGTTCTTCCTCGTCGGACAACTATCTAACTCGCCTCAGTTACTGAAAACCCGTATGCGTCATAAAGTCCCCATACGTCTGCCCCGCAACTTTAGTTTGACTGGCATTCTTGGGCTATATTGATTAAGAGGGTTGTTCCATGGTCTAGCGTTCGAGAGAAAGATGACCTCAGCTATACGGAGTCTGATTCATCTCCCTAAGGAAAGAACATTGATTTTGGTAAGAAATGAAGACGGCAAGAATGTATCGTTTATGTACCGCTTAACTCAACATTTCTTCAACATACAATGCTGATCCAACCTCTATCACATGACCAGAGAAATTTTGTGACTTGCGATCCGTTGTAACACAGTTCACAAAGGATAGTAGTAGACGGTTGCAATTCTTAAGGAATATGTTTCGTGAATATTGAATCAATCCATTTTTACGCTTCTGGGAGATAATAATCGACAACAGTACGAGCAAGACTTTCCATATTCAATATCATACAATCTTTGAAGAACAGTAGTATAGTAAAGTAATGGGTAAGATGCCGATATTCGGAATGAACAATGTTACCAAACACATGACATGTTTCTGACACTGAAGACACAGTGCCAGTTTGCAAAAAATTATTGAATGGTAAAAATGTAGTGCGTAAAAATCCATAATAGATTCGTTTGGATTAAGTGAATCAGTAGTAAATATATTAAGTAGTGAAAAGGCAATGATATTGAAAGTTAGTAGTATATATAGAAGTATAAAAGTAACTTAGAGAAAAGAAGCAGTGCAGAAACGTGTTTTTTTTGTATCTGTATTAATGTTACGTCACTTTATGATAAATATTTAAAGCATGTATTAAGTAATTACGATGTTAGAACGTACGGTAATTGTTAATAAATCGTATTATGTAATGATGAAAGTACAGTATATTACGATTGATTATGTTTACTACCAGAACGGGTATTTGAGTGTGGTTAGATTAGAAAATTAAGGAGCGGAGCAGAAAGTGATCCGCATTTGCAGTTTTATTGGCTGCCATACAAATTTGACCAACCAATGGAATTGCGAGAGATTTAGACATACTCGACAAAATCTTGTCCAATAGTTAATTCAAAAGTTGGTTCTTTATAGGACAATCTATTAAATAGATTATTGATCTAGTATTTTTAGTGACAAAACTTTTGACGTTTGGGATGTTGTTGAATTGGCACAGAGACTTTGCAAACGTTTGTGCAAATGACTTCTCCTTATACAAATAGAGAAGACGTTAATTTGTAAATTAAAAACCAATTAGCGAACATTTTTACGGTCAGTAGTTTGTTATTATATGATAATGGTATAACGACATGGAAAAATTGAGATTTTAAAGACAAGTTAAAGTCTATTTGGTAATATCAATTAACAACTTTTTGTTCTAATTGTTATTTGTCAAGATAAATTTAAACCTCTACGGTTAATAGCGTAATTTTATTGCTATCTATCGTATGATAATGTTAATATAAACTAAGACGAGAATATTATGTTATGATTAATCATAGATAGCGAATAGGAAAAAACTTTGAAAACGTGAGCAGAATAATTTGGTTACGCAAATGATAAATAATATTTTATATAAAGAATGTTATTACTTCTGAATATTAGATAACTAATAAAAACCTGCATCGTTCGAACAATCTGAAAAAGTTTGTTTACAGTTTTATTTATTTGAGACGCGTAATAAAAACCAAGCAACTAATTATAATGGGTAAGCTTTTCCGTAAATAGCCAGAGTCGTTTTTGTATAAAAGTTACCAACAAAGAATTAGTCAATAATGTCACATCAATCCTTGCAACTACACTCTGCGGGTAGCATCAACTCTTGGTTAATGTGACAGACACAATGGTAAATTTAGCAAACTATAATCGAATTATTGTGTCTGCTTTATTAAGTTTTCTGTAAATTACAAAGCAAACGTGATATTAATATTGTACTTTTTCTCGTATTTATTTGACTTGAATGTAATTAATTAAGCAAAGTGATAGTAATGATGACTACCTTGATAAAATTTACAAATTACTATATATAATGCACTACTGCTTATTTATTATGAACTTTTTTATTATCATAGATTACATAACGTGTTATGGTATGTATCTAACATATTAAAAATATCCTATAATATTATTACTATTATTATATACATATTCACTCAAACCTTGAAAACAATTTTTTATCTCAATAAAAACACTAAACTTGTCATTGAAACAAATATTTTTTAAATCAAATTTCATGTATTCTACTAATGAATCAAGGTAAGTATCATCACACAAATTGATGCTAAGAGTGAAGGATTCAAGATTTTCTGTATAGTTTGATAAAAATGTGGTCAAACCTTCCAAAGACATTTTATAATGAATTTCCAATTTGAGACATGTTACTGATGGTGATAGATTCATACCAAGTGCCAACAACATTGTTGTTGATATTTCGTCATCTTGGTGACAAGCATGCATGTTACAAATAAAGATTGATAAATCTTTCAAGTGTCTCCATAATGGAAGAACAGCTTGCATAAATGTAATGGAATTCTGTAGACATATATCAACTTCCAGACTGACAAGCTTGGGTGTACTTGTTGCACAGGATTTCCATGTTTCAGCATAACATGTCTGGTCCGGGTCGCAAACTTGCTTTATAGACAGAGTCGTTAAATTTTCCTTCAAATTCCCTAATATGGCATTAAAACCAAAAATATTAATTTTTACGCCACATAATTTTAGAGTATAAAGGTGAGAGAATGCGTTTGATGGTAGCTGCAAAGGACATGGCGGATCTAAACTACAATGTTTTAGCTTGACATAACGAAGTTTTGTAAAACGGCCGAGAAAAGCAAGTATGTCATATGATGACAAATGTGTGATTTTGATTTTTTTGAGACAGTCTTTTTGGCTATATAAAGCTTGCCAGACTGGTTTTGAACTGACCCCATGACTTTGAAAATCAAGAGATAGGGATACAGCTTTTAATTTTTCTTGCTGACAAATAAGTTTACTGATTGCGTCACACCATCGATTAGCGTCCGTCAATGTCGTGCAACCAGACACATCGATTTTGAAAAAATCGAGCTTTTTTAGTTTTTCTGCGGCACTATTTAAAATGTCTGGGCGGAACATTTGGCCAACTTCAAATCGTCTCAGTCGATTAAAATTTGTGCGTTTTGTAGTGAAAATGTTCCACATCTCATGCGGCCATTCCTGGTGAGAATAGCTTATATCATAAGTAGTGTCGCTCGCTTCGTCATATTCTTCATCACAATCGAGCTGTGTCATATCTATTTCCGCTAAGGAGGGACAGTGCTTGACCATACCTCTGCAAAGTCTTAGAAGCAGCAAATGTCCGCATTCCTCCAGTTTCGTTTTACCGAGATAGCGCACTACTGCGGTCAAGCAATATTGCATTTTCATTGTTCTGACAAAGCTCAAATAGTTGAAAAACGGATGCGTATTTTGCGGAGGTATATTCACTCCTAGTGAACCTGACAAATCGTCGAGCGTTTTTTCTGGCAAGAGGGCTAAAAACTTGTCGAGCATTCTCTCTGCTTTGGATCCACTCCAATAGAACGGTGTCTTCCATAGATAAACGATAGCACATCGGCACCAAATGTGATTAACAAAGAGACAGGAATAAAGGTCTCTGCTGCTTTCAGACAATTCATAAACTATTTGTGCAACACAAAGTATAGGTAAGTTTGCCGCTTTACCACTAGTCGTCATGTTTCGATGCTGCGATGAATTTGGCTACGTAGTGGACAAGGATGAGATGTGCGGAAGTGCTTGCTAAAATATAATCCATGGTCACACACAGCACAAAACTTGTGTCGATCAGCGTTTGCTGCATATTTTTGTAGTAACTGTGTTGACAATCACTTTGAACATCTGATACGTTTATTCTATTTATATATGCACGGTTTTCTAATCCGATTCTCTTTTTCAAAAACTCTATCCAAAATTTTATCTCATTGGCGCAAATTCAGATGTCATTCACTTTGGTTTGTTATCTATTGGTCAGGGGTGTACACGAGTTTCATCATTGTAGTACAGGCCAGGTTTTTTGGCAGGTTAAATAGTACGATTAAGGGGTTATTATCTGTCAAAATGAATAGAAACAGGGTAACCCAAACAGTTTAATGTGATGGTTGGTTGGGGAAACACTTTTGTAATAACGCAGACCTTGACTAGATTCCTAGCCGACAAAGGTATCATGTCATCTCACATTGAAACCTTTGGCTTTTCAGTCTTATGACTTGTAATACGAAGAAGTAAAGAACGACTTGCTGTTCAATTTTCATGTGCGCTCTAAGTGAGATATTGACATTCACGTGTTCGTCTGACGTACATATTCGGTTAACGATCGACTATGACGGACGCATTATCGCCATGCATGCCATTGTTACTGTTTGACAGTTATCTTATTAGTTGAGCGAATCACTCGTTGAATAAATACTCCCCCCCTAATTCCTTATGTAGTGAACACTGTCGCTCTTCCACGACAATAAAACTTTATTATAATCAGAGTTCAAAACAAATGTCGAATAAGCGGAAAGCAGAGTTGCAAGTGGCGTTATGGTTTTAACTGCTTGTGTGCTGGGACTTGGTTGTATAAGGGATCTTCATTAAGCATATCATACTGAGACAAGCACAACATGCGTAATGCAGTTGTGGTCATCGTAAACGAATCAACCGATGTTAAAGGATATATATATATATATAAACAAACCTATCCTGTGTTGACCGAGTATATTGTCCAATGTGCTTTTATGCTTCTCTACCCTGAATTTTACCTGCTAATAGACAAGGTGTCCGGTTCATCATATCGACAAAAACTACCAAAACGGATAAGTTTGAAATAATCGTTAGAGAAATCTTGTCGGTGAAATGAACGCTCCCGTATACTTATGCACGAGAAATACTATAATTACTACGTTATGTTATAAACCATTTTAATGTATTGGAATGTATTGAATTAATTAGAAACACAGTAGTTGAGAACCGTTCAGTTAACTGAACATATAACGTATTACGTTAATAGCTTATTTAACGACCAGGTTATGGTCTATGGTGGTGTTCTTGACCTGAATACATCAATACGATTTGCGGCGGCGGCAAAATAGTATAGTTTCTCAACATTAAATCATCTGATTCATTAGGTAAGTCTACAAACCTATAAAAACATCTTGTAAAGCTCGACTAGTATGCTTCAGGTATCAGAACGTTTGTTTTCTTGTAAAATTCACATACTTTCAAACACGTTTCTAATTTGTCGTCGTGTGGAATACCTTACAACATAGTCTATGTAAAATGGCTTTGTTTTTTGCTCTCGACATTCTTTACTTCTATACAGCCGTAAACATAGAAGGCTACTTTCTAATCAATTGTTGCATCTGTGTTTGAGATACTTAATTGCATCTTGAATTATGGGCTAACTGTAAGTATTGCTAAAGTCATAATTTCTCAGACTCTATTTTTAATCAGAATTAGTCACGGTTTAATTAAACATTATAGTCGTACTAGTTAACTTGTTCAGTAATTACACGTATATTGCTTGAAAGTAGAGTATTGTCGAGCCAACTATTGCGCGGAATGAGCGTACAGTAATGGCTTTTTCAATCAAGGCTTGGTTAACCTCCATTCGTGCGTAAATCATCAATATAGTCGGTGGTTTTATTTCTGGTCTAATATACTCACAATTCTCTCAATTAACCGATCGATATAAAGCATATCTCCGACCCTGCCGACGTTCTTCTACTTTCCAAATCAGCGGATTATCAAAAAAGATTGTAATACATACAAAAACGTTTTATTGGTAATACCCTCGTATCCCGTTTACATTTCTACCCAGTTATATCCGACTCCCAACCTTTATAAAAACAAATGTCCTTATAGAATATGCATACCTACCCTTTGCTTATCCCGATGCGCTTATATCTCCACTTTGAGCCTAAACAAAAGCGGATACATGACGGGGTATGACTATACTTAACAATCGTGTTTGCCAGTTACGAGAATTGATGGACAGGATTAGTCTACCCAGCAGTTCTAGAACCACAATTTTATGGTTGCTCCAATATGATTGGTACAAGTGTCGAAGAAATTTTCAGATTCTCAAGATTCAAGCTACAAAGCTAAAGATAATGTTGGCTTATACAACCATTTATGGTTACATGCCGTTCTAATGTTCCACTAGTTAATTACCTATTTATACATTTAGTTTACAATTGCGAGAGCGTTTTGCGCAATTGTGTTATTTTTCGCTGGCAGGTTGATGTCATCGGCAAATCCAAATGCAGAAAAGCGTCCTCGGTAAATCCAGATTTAGGTTGTGCTCCTGATATCGAATTGGCGCAGTGGATGACAAGAATACGTCACTAACATTCTATATTGGTCGTGAATGAGAAGAAGTGGCAGCCTTGATGATTAGTAACCCAAACAACTCTTATAAATGTAACTCACAAAGGCTTACCTAAACAACAATTAGACGCATAAGAGTATATCAATAGTTTCTTCTATATTGGCATCAGGAAGCGTTTTTGCTTGTCGAAATGAATGAGTAACATGCAAAAACTAGTTTCATTTGTTAAGTAACAAATATTAAATAATGCATATTGCCAAGGAAGAGTTTTTCTTCTTTCGACTCTCTTGTATATGTATGTCGTTAATTATTGAAACATTGTTGTCGCAAAAAGAACAAAGAATTTTCGCATGAGCATGTAAACATTTCCGACCATTAAATAGCTGTTCAACTGCATACATGTGTGTCTCGCCAATTTATTTTTGGTATCTTGTTTATTACCATTGGATTGCGCAATATTTAATTCCTTACTATTGCATGTGTTTATAATGGACGAGTTGACGCATTTATATATTTAGAATTTGAAAACGAAGCGATGGAACGTTGCACCTGGCAACACAGAAATCCGAAATAGGAAAAAAATGTTGCTCTGAAAGCAAAACAGCTTTCGTAATTCTGCGTTTGTAATATCATAAAAGAATTAGTCGAAACGGGATTCCACGCCAAAGTGGGAATTATTTCAAAGAATAATGTGACAACGAGTTTCGAAATGTATTCTATGGTTCAGCCTAATCGTTGCACACGGGTTACCCGAATTGAAAGTAATAAAACAAATACCTCATTGTCTGTACAAAAGCGCTCTCTGCGTAACGTCAAGGTAAATGTATGTATAACCACAATACTATAAATGATCTCGAGTCGTTGATACTTTAGTAGTTTACCTTTTCTATTAGTTACAACTGAATACTACTTTACTTTTTACTGAACCGACAAAACCGTAATTAAAAAGAATGGAAACTAGGCTGGATTGTGCTATAAAAGCCAGTAATGAACTCGTAACAACTCTACATCGTGATGGCTTGGACAACGGATGCATCACAACGTTTAATGACTCTTTGGCCATTAGGCAGGTAGAGTATCGAATTCCATTTTTGGTGGAATAATGTTATAATCTTACCTCGCCTGCTCTGTTTTTTTCTTTAAAGAAAATTATAATAATCTTCTCGATTATACGTATTCACATATACATGTACCAAATTTTAGAACTTTACTTCCGACGAAAATAGGCTTCATCGTTCCCTCAACTCTTTAAGAAACGCGGCAGCTGGTGAAACTCGTCTTTATGACAGCATATACGATGTCGTCGTGGGAATTTTCCGTCGGAGGGCTGACCGCACTCGTCCTTGGATTCTAGTCGTCGTGACTGATGGTGACGATAACTGTAGTACACGAAGTGCTAGGCAATGTGCCGAAGAAGTTTATCGTTTATATACAAGAGAAGAAAGTAACTTTTTGTTTGTTGTCGGGGTGGGAGACGGTGTAAATTCAACTAGGTTGCAACAGGTAAATATTTCTTTTCTCCAAAGTTTGGTTTACGTCATTAGTTTTCTCGCAAACACTGCTTGCTAACGTCATTTGTTTCTCACGAAGCAAAAGGCATAAGAAAGCTTTTGCCAGTCACTTTACTGAATAACCGCACGTTTACATATATTTAATAAAATCAGATGGCCGACGTTGGTAGATTTGACTACATACATGTCAAAGATTTCCTTCTTCTCGAAGTAGCTTTAATAACTCTTGCTCACAAAGTAACCACTTCCCTCTCGCTTTCCGTCAACGCACTTTCTGTCGGCAACGTTTCCGCATCATGGGCTGAAATTCAAGAACACAGAAGACTCAGCAACGTTGCTATTGATTACGCTTTGCTGATAGACATGTCGACATCCATGAACGAAATATCGAGCAGAGCACAATGTTTTGAGGGACATGAGTTGAGAAAGTATAGGTTGGGACAATGGATGTGTGACGTGTGCGGAAAGAACGGTCCGACAACGGTAAGTTTTTTAATGTTGGAGCTTTTATGCTGTTAGTTTGTAAACAGGCAACTAACGTACACGATAACGTTTCTTACATACATAGATGTCTGACTATCATTGCGCCAAATGCGATTTTAATGCATGCCATAGCCATTGCGTGTCAGGCCGCCCGTGTAAACCAACCAGCACCTGTCCAAATGATCATCCAATGCGATACACAAATAAAAAAGATCCATGGAGATGTGATGAAGACAAACAATTGTATACAGGGAAACGGCTTCGATGTGAACGGTGTGATTATGATATATGTCCAAATTGTCTAATAGAGGCGGAGAGAGCAGAGAGAGCACTTACTTATCTCATGGCTGGTTTACTTTTGCGAGAATAGAAAGTAGTTTACTTAGTAGTATAGACACCAATGGAAGGATGCAGCGATGTTGATTAAAGTTATTTCACTAGCTTATTTATATATATTTATCAATCTTTCCTAATTACTATATCCGATATAAATAAAACGAGAAATGTAAAAACAAATACATATCGATAACTATATAATTTTTGGCATGGTTGAGTATTCTTGTACCTGCAGATTTTCAAAAAAAAACCCCCCAAACTCTTGGGCATCTTGTTTAGTGGTGGCAATAACATGATTGAGATTATAGGATTTGTTACCACTACAAATACTTCCAAGTATAACTGGCACGTCACGTGTCTCAATACTGCATGTGAATATAAATATGGAAATATGGAATCCTAAGAAAGTAAACGCGATCATCCTCTCCCTGCATAACATTGTCAGGGTTAAACCTTATCATAATTTGATACGCTTCCCTTTTATAAAGCAACTGTTGTAACAATATAAGTTGCGAAAATGTGTAACATGATATATTTATGGCCTTCGCTTGAAAACAGTTCAATTAAAAAGAGTCAACTAATCCAGCAATTGACAATCTAGTTTATTGTGTAGATGAAGATATTACACACTTGAATTAATTAGTTGCTCGGATAATCAACCATTGAGCTAACTCAAATTGACAATGTCTATTCGCAAGCAAACGGTGGATGAAACGATGATAATATTCCTATTACTTGGAAGTGATGAAACCTGTACTCCAACATTTGTGTATGAGTTTTTCAGAACATACTCACTTTTAACCCGCAAGCACAATAATGAAGACAATACATTCAGAATGGTTTGTGAGTCGCAACAAACTCATTAAAAGGTTTACCAAGTATGATGACAAGTATTACATGGTTGCTAAGAGGCAATTCTACCATTGTTATTCTCGATATGGATTCTGCGATCCGATGTAATCCCCTGTACTTATCAACGTAAGCGAGCAAAACTTTTAAATAGTATAGTTAATCCTATGTTTGACGTCTTATGGCAAAGTTGTGTACGTAAAATTTCTGTCCATGATATAAAATATTGGGTCTGTTGAATGACAGCTTTGTAAAGTTTATATTAGCTGGGACGTATTGGCAAGGTTTTGGAAACATTTAATCGTGTTTCGAACCACATGGGTTAAAGTCGGATGTTTCTGTATCTTATAAAACTCCCAATGGCCCTTCTCTCCGTGAAGAAGTCATGGAACTAATAAATTTATCCCATTATTCGTGATTCCTTAATTGATGCAAACACATTGCAAATTTGAACACCCATACAAATACAAAGTGATTGTAATAATTGCGGAAAGTTAATTACATGCGTTTGGTAGTTTCGATTTACTAACATCCCTATTACTATATAGAGAATTTGATTAAGCGATAACGGACAGCATGTATTGTGCATTGTAATTGTACCGCTTGATGAGTTATCAAGCAAGTTTACGCCAATCATATAACCTGATGATTATTCTATGTCGATTTACGAATCAACATCTAAATTAATCAATACTATACTGTATGAACTCTTCAATTACATGAATTGTTATGCGAATATTTAAAGATAATTGAGCATCATTTACACTATTCTTCCTAAATTTCGCATCAGCAGTTTTTATGAGCATAAACTTTATTCGATCACTTGTGTTTGTACGATTCTCTTTATGGCAGTGATACTAATACATGCCATGCAAAGTCTTCGAAATAAACTTTCAATGTATGTGAATGAGGTTTGGGGATCAGACAGAGATATGGTTGCATATGACAGCAACAACGTTATGAAGTAGTTTAACTGCCGCAATCAGCGAACCGTAATCTGTTACGTGTATACTATTGTCATGAGGTGAGATTCAAGTGTATACGAACAATATAATAGAATGATGTAATACAAGTCAGTAATACTACAAGCTACTTGCACTTATATAGATTATTTATTTTTATGCTAAAACCTACAACTTTAAAATAGCTTTATAAAAAACCCAGTTGTTCATACTGTACGTATGTAGGGTTGATATCGTAATGTTAATAAAACACTTTGATAATGTCGTTGCCTGATTGTCTCTATTATTGCGGTTTGTCCATTTGGAATGAACAATCTGACATAGATTCCAAACTGTCATAATATTTCAAACTGCTCAAGTGCGCCGTCGGGTCCCATAACAATATGCAACTTCATCTATTTGCATAAAATCCATACCTTCTGAAACCTTTATAAAGTCAGTATCAAACATACACTGTTAAACACGTCAGTCTGATTAATTATTTGATGAGTCCTTCAAAAAATTAGCCATGAAGCAAGAATAAAGTAATTATAAAATTGAAGAGAGGCGAAGTCTCTTAACCATTTATAACTCTAGTTTAATTAATAATTTTCTTATTTTTTTAATACTCTGCCCGGTAATGGTAAACATGACTTTATCTCAGTGTCTTGTTAACTCATCCATTTGACATATGTAAAAGCACATCGTATAATTCGAATCTTTGAATAATAATAAACTGCAATAATAGTAAACCATAAATTACGAGCTTTATTCAAAAAAAGTTTGAGTTGCTAAAATTGTAAGAAATGGAAGTGTTAACATTGCAATATGTAATTAGCTTTATTTGTATCAATACGTAACTGTACCTGCAGCTGAAGCTCCAGTAGGTAAGAGTGTGCTGGAATATTTACTCTCTTTCTCGTGACGTGATAATGGCTTCACATCATTATAATAAACAGTATTCCACACGTTGTCACCAAATTTATCCTTTTCCACGCCTCTAATAATTTTGCGAATTTCCAAGTAAAGTGTCCATCCATCCTTTGGACGCTTATCAGGATCAGCATCACAACACCGCTCGGCAAGTTTCTTGTATTCCTCTGGCGCA